CCCAACCACCTCCACCTAACCACAGACAGGAATGTGGAGGCAAACCCCGTCACTGGTGTGACAGTCCTGTGCTTTATACTATCCCCTGCCGCCCCGGGGGACCCCAGCACTGCTTATAAGTGTAGCTCTTTCATTCATTCAACAAAACAAAGTAAAAACATTCCCTCTGAACGTAATCAGAGGTGATTATGTTTCCCATAAAATGGTTTGTTTGTATTTCTTACACCAATCACAATTGTTATGGGTGGCCCTGAGACTCTGGAATTATTTGCAGAGAATTTCTAATATCGGGGGGAATGTCCACACTCACAACTTACAGGTTCTGTAGGGTTTAAAAAAGTGTATTTTCAATATATGGGTTCGAAATATTGCTTTTTTCCTGTTGCTTTTGAAGAGCATGCAGGATTCATTGATTCCATGTTCAGATTTTGTAATGCACTCAGATATTTATAAGTGAACAGACACTCTTTGCTGTTTTGCTGCTAGGTTAATGTTGGTGGTGGAAACTTTTTTCGGTGAAACATCTGTATGTGTGAGAGGTGATCACTGTCATTTAAAAGGCTCATTCCTCGCAACCAAAATGCCACAAAAACATTAAAAGTATTTAATGTAGTAGTTGAGTACCAGACTCGAAGCACAAATGGAGGCGAATGCAACTTGAAATAGACGCCTAGCGGCATGTTTATGTCCAGAGTCTTTACATTTGATCAGTGGGACTATTTGCATATTTCAAGAGGGTTGCCATGGCTGTAGAGATGGTGGTCAAGGTTGCCAGGTCAAGTCCAAAAAAAACAACTTAATGTCCAAAGTTGGGATTTAGAGGTGGTTGTATACACATGTGGGTACAATGTTGACATCCGTGTGTATGTGCTGATCAGAAGTAGAGATTTTCTTTGGATGTTCTTCCTCACCCTAGTTGAGGATTAAGGATGTTGCACCTTGTACAGATTGCAAAGAATGATTTATTAATATTTGGGTGTAAATTAACAATTTCATTTAGAATTTGGATTTTATTTGTAGATATTATTCATGCAAGCAACAAATCAAGTAAAAACACCAACAGTGCATTGTCTTTTCTTGCAGGACCAAGGTGATGTTAACCTTATCCCCGCAACACTCTTTGTGTCAGCATCTGTAACATATGGTCTGGATGGGATGCCATCAAATTTTGATGACTATTGAAGACTGATGACTTTGTCTGGCAAACTCTTGACTTTTCCAGCCGGTTACATTTTTCGTTTGGTCCAGGAAAATAGGTCAGCATCCTCAGGACTTCATAGCACAAATGTTAATTGTTTCCGGAGGATATACTTTGACCACTTTTATGATCCTCTGACTTTTCCTCTAAAACCACCATCAGGTGAAATAATAGGTTCTTGTATGGTTTAAAAACCTAAAGTAGGTCATTCCATCAGCCTGTTCTTTGTGGTTTGTGTATGTGTGACACAATAAACATGAACTAAGCATCACATATATCAGCATTGTCATAGAGAGAGATAGCCTGCTGACGTTAGTATGTAGCCCAGAGCGCGGGTAAGGCTGAGTAGTCACACAGAGCTCACTCAGCCTTTCCAAGAATTAATACTGCTTATACATGGTTCACCAGTCCTCATGACTCCAGCCACAGTTCTGCATACTTTGATCAAGTAAGTTATACTGCACATGACTGATCTACTCCATCCCAAACCAGCACTTTTTACTTGACCACCTAAACCTGAGCTTTACGTTTCAGTTCTTATAAATACAGTCAAGTACCTGACAGTAGATCTACATCCTGTACATGAAGCAGCTCACTACTCATCTCTTTAAAGAGCGGTTCTCCTCTCACACAAAGACAATACACTACTAATCTACAGTGCCGTTAAAGTGGATCAGCCAAGGAAAGGTTTTTTAAATTTTTTTTGAAAGTTACAGAAACAGGGTCATCCTGCTTTTGTCCACCTCCCACATGCAGTCACATGCTGCTGCAGACCCACAGCGCTGGCTTCCCTCGCCGTCTGTCTGTCTGTCTCTGTCTGTCTCTCTGTCTCTCTTTCTTGCTGCCTGTCTACCTGGCTGTCACTCTCTCTTGCTGTCTGTCGGTCAGTCTGTCTGCCTGTCTCTGCCTGTCTCTGTCTGTCGGTCAGTCTGTCTGCCTGTCTCTGCCTGTCTCTGTCTGNGCCTGTCTGTCTGTCTGTCTGTCGGTCAGTCTGTCTGCCTGTCTCTGTCTGTCTCTGTCTGCCTGTCTGTCTCTTTCTCAGCTGAGGGAACATCTGTTACATCTGTGTGGTCTGAACTCAGTTCTGCTGAAAGGCATTAAATATATTTTTTAAGAAGGTACACATTACAGATACTGTATTTCACTACAGTTTTCATCTGAGTGATATATGCAACCATGTATTTATACATAACATATTCAAATCTTCCTGATGTTATAATACTTACATACATATTAACTGTACAGCTTCATGCAGTAAAATGACCGTTCCCTCTGTATTACATGTGTTTTCTACATTAACTATATCCTTTTCAGCTTCAATCCCTGCATGTACTTAACATGCTGTTACGATATCTTTAGTATCTTAAGAGGATCACCATCCTGCCAGGTTCCTGCGGCCTGAGGCACAGGCTGAGACTCAGACCATGTGACTGCAGCTTCAACAGTGTGAGTCCAGAGCCAGTGACCCCTTCAAAATATCACTCTCCCCTCACCTCCTCTGTCTGCTATCAGACGCCCCCCCAAAAAAACCTTTATCAGATGAAAAAAATACTATCACCATCCAACTTCTCCCGTGAATAATTCAAATTCAGCTTATTCATATCTTATGAAGAAGACAACCAGACACGTACAATTCAGTTTTGAAGAAATCAAATATCTCCATTTTATACTACTATTTCTACATTCTACAAATTAACTCTAATCACAAGTTAATTTTCTCTGTTGTATTATACACACAGAACACAATTCATAGAATTGTCTTATGACGTGTTGTTAAATCACTAGTTTAAATTCAGTCAGGAACACTATGTTCTGATTTACCCATTTATTGCACAATGGGGTGAAGTTATGATTGGCGCTGAAAGCTCCATTCTTTGGATGTTCCCCGGATTTGTCAGCAGCATGCTAAGATAAAACAGGGAACGTGCAGAACCCCCCAGTGGGCGTAGCAGAGATGAATATCGTTTACCATGACCAAGTTTGGACTCAGTGCTAAAATGTAGAGGCTTGGGTGGGGAGTGGCAGTGTAGCAGAGCAGGGATCAGTGAGGATGAGGTCGTATTTAAAGGGACCGCTCTGCTGAGAGAATGGGCTGCGATTGGTGGGTGACTGACGAGGACCCATAAACCTATTAGTAGCTGACGCTTATGATAGCTGAGCACATGGCTCCGTGTCCTGAATGAACTAATGCAATGCTTCATTGTGAACCCCCCCTGAAGACAATGAAAATGCCAAGATGGTGGATGTGAA